CCCGCCTGGGTGAGGCGGGAGGGAGTGTCAGACTCTTACTGACTAAAAACCACCCCGTTCCTTCTCCTGCACGTCGAGCCGGAGCCCCGGTTACCCGTTAGGTTCTCCGCGACTCCGAATCGGCATCGGCCCTATTGGGCCCCATCTGTGGTGGTCTGATGGCTCTTTGAGGCGCGCGCGGAACGCGACGCGCCGTACGCTCGGGTCTGTTTCTGGTCGGACGGGGAGCCACCCATGCTCGCCGTCCGCAGGCCCGCGCTTACGGTGGCCGGAGATCGTCCCGCGATCCCCGACGCCCGGTGTGTCCTTCGCGATGGCTGGGTTGCGAGGAGGCAGCGCTTCGCTGCCTCACGCGTCCCGCCTCCTCCTTAGCTAGCATGACTGCTTCACAAAAGGAGGAGACTGCATCCCAATCCCCCTCGCTCCGCATCATGGCCCGCACTAGGCCCGGACGCGAGAGGTCGCCATCGCCGATCACTTCCCTGAGGGCACGGCGGTGCTCAGCCCACGCAGGGCATTCTCCCACTGTGTGTTCCACCGTGTCTTCAGGGCGGTTCTCGCAGTGATGACACCCGGACGTTTCCTCCCGCCCCATCAGACACAGGTACCTCCCGAAACTTCCATGTCCGGTGAGGACCTGCGTCAGGCGGTAGGTGAGGACGCCGTAGCGTCTCTCAAGCCACTCCTCAAAGAGGGGACTTACCGCTGCGATGGCAGCGAGCCCAAAATAACCTCACCTTACCAACCCTAAAAGCACCCTAAATTGTTTTTGGAAATAAATCTCTCTATTTCTCTACCAACTTCTTTCATTACAGATTGCTTACATAGTGACTGAGCGTCCTATGATCGCCTATTTTAACAAGAAATTCATCAGCAACGTATCGGTGTTTAGCCGTCGACGCAATCGGGACGATCCTATTTACTATATAAATTTTTACATTGATATTTTGGTGCCATTGGGAAACAATGTTTCGGTAAGAGTTAAATTTCTTTTCTGTTTCCTACACATGCATATTGATTTGAGTAAAAGTGAATATATTGTAAGATTCCTTGAGATTTGAGGCCGTAAATCAAATCGCAAATCGCCTGCCAAACTTGGCATTATGGCTAACCCTGTCTAGAAATGAGAGATATGCAAAGGCATATCTCTCATTTTATCTTACTTATTGGACAAAGGTCCAGAAGTAAACAAATTCCTTTTGATGACAACGATTTCTGAGATTTGTTATTCAAAGTCACTGAATCGATTTTAGTACACTCCACTCGAGAATCGGTATATTTATGTAATTTTGTGTATAATGTTACTGTTCCAGGTAGATGTATACTTCTACGAGTTACAAAACGGTAGATACCACCGAACATTCGTAGAGATACACTCGAAATTGTGTGACTTCGTAGAGGCTGGCACGTTATTTGGGGACTCGTTGAAAAGAGCCATCAAAAACCACCATTGTCCTTTTCAACCAGTAAGAACTACTTACTTACTTTATTACTTTTGTCCAGCATGATATTGTTGTAATTTCAATGTTTACTGATGAGTTACATCTTTTTTTTATGGCATAAACCGGTAAACGAGCAGACGGATCACCTGATGATAAGCAATCGGCGTCGCCCATGGACACCCGGAACACCAGAGGCGTTACAAGTGCGTTACCAGCCTCTTGGGGATTAGGAGTTTGAGGACCATTGGGGATTCAGGGATTGGAGAGATTGGGGAACGGGAGGGTAATTGGGCCTCCGGTAACCTCACTCACAAGACGAAACACAACGCAACCGTTGCTTTACGTCGGTTTTCTATGAGGCCGTGGTATCACTCCGGTCGAGCCGGCCCATTTGTGCCGAAGTATGGCTCTCCCACATTTAGCTTTTCATTTTGTTTCGATAGGAAATAGGTAATCGTTGGTCCCTTCCCTACACAGAAACTGATCGAGATGTAGCTATTTATTTAGTTTGTAAAAACTAACTTCAATGCGGTGAACCGTGACAACGTCATTTAAAAATTACTCATTAAAAACAGCTATTATTTTTTTAAATTTCAGGGTCAAATCGCTTTGACTAATTTGACCATACCACTACAAAATATACCGAAAAACTTCCCTTACAAGCAAGGGCGCCTTTACTGCAATACTACTCTCATTCGAAATGGTGTCATCTCAAAATTAGCAGAAACCTACATTGATATGGAAGTCAGAAGTGGAATTGTAAAGAAATCAACTAAAAGTTAACAATTAAAGAATTTCAAAAATAGTTTTATTTTTGTGTTGTATCGTCTTCATTGGAATCGATATAGAATTAACTCAGAACATTGGGTAGTAAATGTCCGTTTTAACCAACCTCCCTAAATTTTAAGGAACCCCTAAGCTAATAGTTGATCATTTTTCTTTTCACCAATAAATGACACCTACCAGTACAAAGTGTTGCAGGCGTACATAGGCTACGATAATCGCTTACCATCAGGTGGGCCGTGAGCTTTATTGCCACCGTCGTGGTATAAAAAAAAGCTTAGTTTAGATACTTAATAACTTCTAATTCGGAGAATTAGTTACTCATAACCTCACAACTAGGAAAAATTGCAGTTGCATTGCAATGTTCTTTGCTTAATGATATTTAATACTATTTAAGGTAGTCTCTTTGTAACTATGATGGCAACATTACTCTCCAAAATGTCAAATGAAAAATCGCATTCTATTCTATCTGTCACTCTGTAAAACAGATGTTGAATGTTGATGTTTACTATGCAAAAATGGGTGGAGGGGGATTGTGAAAATAAAATACTATTTTTCTCCTTCACATAACTAAATAATAATGCGGTGGAGTGAAGCAGTGACGTTAGAATTTGTTAAAATATATTTGAAGCACGAATGTCTTTGGAATCCTTCACATCCGGGCTACAAATTAAGATATCAAAGAGAACAGGCCTATTCAGATATAAGTGAGGAATTCAAAGGTTCTACCATGAAGTCCATGAGTGTGCCCGAAGTAAAAATGAAAATTAAGAACCTAAGGACCACTTACGTACAACAAGTGCACAAAATATTGCAAAAATCCAGTCCCGACTCTATATATGAGCCGTCACTAGTCTGGTTTCATGAAATGGATCGATGTCTGAAACATATACCTAGTAATCGACATTCTAATTCTTATAACAATGTGAGTATAATCTAAAGTAGTTTGTCGCGGAGAACCTAACGCGTAACCGGGGCTCCGGCTCGGCGTGCAGGAAAATGAACGGGGTGGTTTTTAGTCAGTAAGTCTAACACTCCCTCCCGCCTCACCCAGACGAGAGCAGTCATTCGATGATTTTCCCCCCATAAATAAAAAAAAGTAGTTTATTATTATAGCTAATCACTACTTAACTAGATTCTCAACTCAATTAAATCATTTATTTCAGTCTCAAGAACCTGCAGATGTGGATTCAGCTTGCCAAATCTGGGTCGACCAAGAGTTGCAGAATACAAATATGGACCAAGTTAACCCCGATCCCCTGATCCCACAGACAGATGATGAATATGACTCTGCAAAGTTAGATGAACAACCATCTAAAGTAAAAATTGAGAGACGATCATCCCCTATATACTATAAAAAGATTAAAAAGAAAAAGCTAAAACACAGGGCTACAGCAAGAAATTATTCAGCGGATGCCCTTCAGCAATGTTCAAAAGAAGATGAATTTGATATCTATGGTAAATATATTGCTACCCAACTGAGGAAAATGGATCTCCACAAAGCTTTGAGAATACAACTAGAGATACAAAACCTTGTGAGTGAAGCGAGAATTTCAGACATTGTTTCCAGTGATTGATATATGGAAAACATTGTTTCGTCTAATGAGTCCTCCTTGTAAATAAGAAAGGTATTCCCATCTGTATATGATTGTGTGGTATTATAACAATTAATATTATAATCTTAAGACCATTCTCAAAACAATAATATTTAGAATAATTTGGTACCATGAAGTATTTTATTATATGTATAGCCTATGATGTTTGTATGATTGTAATGCAATTTCATACTAGATTTGTAACAAACTTCCAAAGTGCAAATAATGTAAACCAAAGAATAGTATTAATAAATAGTTTAAAATGAGATTGGTTTTCTTTGCAATTCTTTTGCCTTTTAAATTGATTTAACACTTTGGTTAATGAAGATATGGAAAACATGTGTTTAAAGAAATATCAATCAACACAGACATGCAGATACACCTTTCCTATATTTTACTTAAAAAACCCTGAAAACGATTTAAAAATAAAATTGCATACGAACTATAAATTGTTCGTACAAAAAAAACATAAACGCTGGGCAAAAAGCCTCGTTCGCCGAAATTAAAAACGTAATCTATCAAAAATTGCGTTCCACGTTCAGCAGAACTCAATAGTGGAGCATTATTTTGACAATTTGATTGACAATAGTTTGTTATTTGTTGTTGAATGTTGATTATTACAAGTCAACTCGAAACAATAAAATAAATGGTTGTGTAATTGAATAGTTCTATTAAAATGCGGTGGAGTGAAAACGAAACATATCAATTCGTTAAAATATATCTAAGTCATGAACTGTTATGGAATCCTGAGCACGCCGCCTACAGAATCAAAGGTAAAAGGTTGAAGGCCTACAGAGAAGTAATCGCTGAATTAAACGAAATAACGGGCATACTATTAAATGTAACAGAATTAAAAATTAAGATTAAGAATCTCAGATCAACGTACATGCAGGAAATTGCTAAAATTAAACATCGATCCAGCCCAGATTGGTCATACAAACCGAACATGAAGTGGTTTTCTGAATGGCACAAACATTTTGGTGGGTTAAAGAAAGCTCCTGATGATTCCTCCACGTTTGACAGTGTAAGTAACCAATCTTTTCTAAGAAGCTTTATTCTGCTTTTATACAAAATTAATTGATTGAGGTATTTCTCTACTTTGTTTCTTTCTATCAAGACTTCATATAAAGGTTGTCTGGTAGATATTACTGTCTGTGATAAGACCTCCTTTGTATTTTGTTTTCTGTATGTCTAATAAATTTTGTACACTAAAGATCATTTTATCAATCTAATCTATCACATATCCCTATCATATAAATAATTCTTTGCTTTGGTTTCCAGCAACAAGATTCTCTAGATGATGCAAACCAAAAGATATGGCTGTCAACCACAGACAACATGGAAGAAGAAACTCTGGAGCCATTCCCTACAGATAATGAATACACATTAATTTTAAAAACGGAACCCCGAGAAGTACCACAAATCAATGAAAGTAGATACCAGAACAAAAAGAAAAAAATGAACCACAGAAGACCTAGTACAGACTGTTCTGGAACATTTGTGGAAAACATAGACTCAAATATAGAGCCTTCTGCAAAAGAGGATGAATTTGATATCTATGGAAAGTATATTGCATCGCAGTTGAGGAAGATGGAGTTACAGAAAGCGTTGAGTGTGCAACTTGAGATCCAGAGTCTGGTTAGTGAAGCCAGGCTCTCAGGGTTGAATGGAAAACATTGAAATTAAATACTTGGCATAATTTTAATAAGTACAAAACTTATAGTTTAGATCAGACTTATGCTATATATTTACTGTACCCTGTGGACATATGCAATGCAGATTGCCTTGAACCTAGTCAGCTCTGGAAGCAATAATAACTTTTTCAGTAATACATTTCATAACTGTAAAACGGTTAATTATGTCAGCCTGGTAGCTAGACAAGAATATAACCATGGTGTGAATTCTAATGATTTAATTAGATTTTTTAATAAGTAATTTAGTTTTAAAACTATTTAACTGCATCAGCAGTTGTCAGATCTGATATTAATAACAACATTTTCAGTTTATTTTATTGGAATATTGGATTTTTTTATCCAAGAATTAGTGAATTAATTAAAAATAAACTTTTTATAATATTCTCGTATTTTTTTAATCCCGACATATATTTTCTAATTGAAATTAAAGATTCACATAGGTAAAAATGATATTTGGCTAGTTAAGTTTTGTAGAAACAATCTGAATGTGATATCGAAATACTTAAAATTATTTACCTAGAAGTGACTGAACTGCGACCAGCCAAACAAATCAATATTTTGTTATAACCAAAAAACTAAAAGGGCCAGATGGCCCTTTATTAACTTCAAGTAAAAATTCAAACGGAAGATAAAGAAAACCAAAGTTGCAAGTCTGATTTTTTATTGCTGTTACAGCATCTGTTTATAATACAAACAAACATTATCACTTACATTTCACTAGTGAAAATTCAAATCGTTCCATTGTACGTTTGTTCCTACGCACGATAACGTTCCCGTAGGTCTCGTCCGGTTTCATGAAAAAATATACATCGGTATCTGCTGCGTACAGATTTCATATTCGAAAATAATAATCACATCAAGTCTAAATATCTAAATTAAGTACTTTCACAATCATTTTACGTAGTTCCAAAGTAAGGAAAGGAAGTCAAACTTCATGGGCAGTGCGCATCAGTTATAAATAAAAATAAAACTAAATGCCTAGAACTTAGGTTTACAAATAACTGTAAAGGTCGATACACACTCTCCGCACCGAAACGTTAATCTCACTCAACTATTATAAACACAAATTCCACGTGATGTGACATTAATAGTTACATTTGAAAATGTGATAACAACCTCATTTTAAATACCTAACTGATACATGTAACTGTATGCTAACTTCTGATATAATACAACTGACTAGCGACATTGAAATCCGCGGCAGTGTAGTATCGACCTTATATAAGACTAGAGTGAACGGTACAAAATCTCAAAAAAATAATACGGAAATGTTCATTTTATACTTTTGTTGTATCCAATATGCGTTACATCGCGTATCTCTTGTGAGTGTGAAAGCTCTTTAAAACCTTGTATACTTATATTGTAGATACTAGAAATAATACAACAAAATCTGTTGTTACGTCTTAAGTTAAATACAGCTCAAAACACTGAAAAAATTAGCGCCGGTGATAAGCTTAAACTTATGCTATTTAACGTTAATATTAAATTGATACAAAAACAATGCTTAACAAGAACTTATTCAGAGTAAAACACAATACACGAGAGCTTAAAGAAACTATAAAGATAATCACCAATTGATCCCAAAAAACAACATCAACAACCGTGTCACGATTACAACCATAGTGCAAAAATGTTGAGCCAACAAAACATACACGCTGTGAAGTACTGGGATCATTCTATATCTACCAAACAAGTATACAAGGCCGAGCAATACATAGGCAGAATAAATTGGCACACAAAAACACCTCAAATTGAACGTATCAACATCGAAAATAGTGCGAAAATGAACGCACTTTACAACCAATTAGACTACACTATACGAATCCGTCATTATACTATGTTCATACAATTCCGTCGCTTCGTAAATTAATAGAAGGGTTTATTTTATTATAAAATTAATTGTACTATTGTATAAATGCAACAGAGTCGATATTGGAAGCTGGTTACTGTAGGAAGAACGTAATTATAAGTCTATTGGCATTATGATATGGATGGATGAATTTTATTGAGAACTACCAGTTTTTGCTCACCAGATGGCACTATAGAAGTCTCGTCTTTTCGTCCAATAGGGAGTTGGCTAGTGTCACTGTCATTGGTCATTTAATTTCTGACAGCTACAGCGATTGGACAAAAATACCTCTTCCTATATTTGTACCATCTAGTCAGCAAATATACGGTAGCCCTTTTGGGAATTAATACCTCATTGTATACTCTGAACCAGTCGGCAATATAAAACCACATCAATAATACTATTTTTTTTTCTAAAATGAAGTCAAAACAAGTCTTAGTTTTGCTACAAATCTCTTTTATAACTTATTATAAAAAAATAAAGTCAGTCGAATTTGTCCTCATAGTTAGTTTGTACCTAATAATAATTAACCATAAACACAATTACTTAAACACACCCAGCTGTATTTATACAATGAGATATTATTCTTAACATTTTTACAAAATTATTTTAAAACTATTGCTTACATAGAAATCCATGTTCAAAGAAACAAAACGCAAGATTTAAAAACAAACAATGTCCCTTCCAAATTTAAAAATATAACAGTATTTGGTGCCAGCACCTTTAGAGGCGGAACATGGTCTTTTTTTAAATAGTGCGTTGTGCAATATTTTTGAAAATAACCGTCTATTTATACATAGAAAGTCTATTTAGTATATTTGTAAGAGATTCTATAAAAATCTGTGGATGTCAGTTGCAAATCAAGTTTTTAATCTCAATGGACAGTAAGCTATAGCAGTTAGCCATTTTGACTGATAAATAGCAACAAAAATCATTATTTTGAAAATCTAAGACCCCAAACTTATAATATAGCGCCAATAGAAAGATTTACCATAGTTAAGGAGTTGCTAAATAAAATACTAAGCGAGGTTTTCAGCTGTAAAGCAGGCAAAGTCAGTTTTTAAATGAATTTGTCACCGTTAAAATATATAGACAATATAAAACGGTCGTCCTTTGCAAATTTTGCAGCGTCCATTTTTATCGGTCAATATAATAGTAAACATAAACCTCAAAGCAAGATTTGAGTTGCAAAAGCCCGAATACTGAAACGTTACTCAATTTTAAATCGTGCTCAAATATCGTGCCATCTCTGTCGTTTCATAAAGAATTTGTAGAGACAGAACTGTATGTAAGCGCGACTTAAAATTGAGTAACGTTTCAGTATTCCGACAAAAGTGATTCCACAAGTTTTTCAATTTTAAATGAATAAGATATTGTGCTAATACAAATTGTTTGGGGTTTAATCTCTTAGGCGAATATTTACGTATGTGTACAACGTATTGTAAAGGAAGAAAGTCTATGAATATCTGTAGTTTCTTTCTCATAATACTGGCCATGGTTTAATAAGCTAATTTTTAACGCAGATTTAGAATCTTTCCCAAATGTTTAAGTACGAATTTTCAAGTTATCAAAAACCCACAGATATTCATAATTAAAAAAACAGGAGCAGTTTTACCAAACCGGAACATCTGTCAAAATCACAACTGTCATGGTTCCCATCATCTGTCAAAATGCTGTCACACGTCAAACAATACTCAAATCGCAAGTTCAACAAGAAAATGTGGGCGCCACGCCGGTAGTTCTCGAACATACCGCCAGGCAGCGCCGCACGTAAATACAGACAAATTTGGACTAAAAACGTCGAATAAAACTACAAATTTAATATACAAGGAAGAAGACTCGATCTCAGATCTTAATTTGTACAATTTATCACATAAAATTCAAAAAGAACACGCATATATTTAACTGCAGCAGCGAGTCACACAGAGGACTGTTGAATTGTTGATCACACAGATTATGCTTGAAGAGATCTTTGCACGGTCACATATGAAGAAATGCCGAAAAATGCAGGGACTCCTTTGTCGTTGAAAAATGTATCTTAAGGAATGACTATAAGATTCACTTTTCAACGAAACGCAATTTAGTCTGTTTGAAATGTTATTTATTCGCTGGTTTGGACGCAGTTACAGGCTAGAACATGACCGTAATTGTGCGCACAATAAAGCGAACGCCGTCGTCATAGTGTCGAGAGACAATCCTCGAGAGTTACACGCTCCGGAGGAATCTCCCATCGATAAATACCAAAGGGTAAAGTCACCACAAACGCGTGAAATTCAATTATTTTAATATTATGAAAAAATAAACGCTCTGTCTTGAAATATGTACGTACACTGTTACAAAACTAACACACTTGTTATTTTTTATATTTTAAGTATATCCAGTTGAATTTCTTAGACTACCGATATTTGTATGGACATTTGCGGACGATTGCACTTGACTCGAGTTAAGAATGATCAGTAAAATTCCAAAAAGAAATGCATCAGTCAAGAACAGAAAATTTTCAAAATCAATCTTAACAAAATGTCAGCCAAGTCTACCGCCTGCTTTCGACTTACAAAAAAATCACTTTTAAATTTTAACTAACACAATAAATTAACGAAAAACATCTTGTCAGCTTGCATTATCAATTAGAAAACAAAAAAAAACAAATTGAGATCAGAAAACGCCCATACAAAGACCAGAACAGCTTGGGTAAGGGTCGAAGCTCGGTTTAGGAAGAACGCGCAAGGTCTTAATATTTCTAGATTTTATCTGTCTAGGCTAAAGTATTGTCTAAATTATTTCAATACAAACCTACAGGTACTCGGTGAATTTAGTTACGAATTGCCAGGTATAAATTTGAATGTACCGGCGATTTTACAGCTTAAATGTCCACTTAAATGCTATGTTACCGGTTATTGATTCTTGTATCTGGCAATACTCTTCACAGTAGATCAACTTCATGTCAAATTCTCACAGACCTTAGAATGCCACGTTGTTTTGTATCAACACTAAATATAATTTGTTCGTGTCACAATCACCACACAGAATTTCTCAACATTTTCGTACAATCTTGCTGTAACCTAGTTGTCGTTTGGTGAAGTAAGTTAGACAATACTTGCTTGGCCGCGTTCGTTCCTTGGTTCAGGCGTCGGAGCACTGCGCTAGTTGCTTGGGCGTGTACACGGAGGCGTTGGGGTCCAGCGGTGACCCGTCCGAGAGTCGAAGCTTGGACACCGCGGCACTCGACGGCGCCACGAACTCCGTCGGCATCACCGCCAGCATTTGAGCTTTCAGTTCCTCTATTTCTTTTTCTTGTCTTGATATTAAGCCTGAGAAAGTTTTCACATGAGTTAATGAATTGAATTTCTATATCTAGCTCCAGTGGACCAGTCTTGCTTTCGCAATAAGGTTTATAACTATGCAGAGTGTATCTTTACCGTCCTGTATGCTGAGCTTGCGTTTAGCATCGCCCAGCGCGGAGAGCAGGTCCAGCTTGACCCTTGTCTCTGCAGAGAGCGAGTGCTCGAGATGGTGCAGGCGCTCGGCGGCGGAGTCGAAGGCGCCGGCGGCGGGCGCGGGCGCGCGCGCCAGGACGGCGGCCCGCTC